CACTTTCGGCATAGAAATCGAAGCCGAAGGCGAAATTCGGTCGGTCTCTAGGCAGTACACTCACAGTTTTCTAGGGCTTACAAACACTATAAATCACAAACTCATGTGTTACAATCTCGATATTACTACATTTCGTTAGCTTATTTGTCTTGGTGATAATTCATTTACTTGACAAACCACTGATTCGTGTCAAATGTCTCTGTATTAAAAACAACTCCAAAATTCTAACACTCCATTGTATAATTATTCCATAACTTTTTTTGAAAACCATAACACCTTCACAACGCTATTTCCAATACCCAAATACGTCACAACATACAGAGCACATAGAAACTGTGACACAAATACTCTCAACACCAAACACCTTTTTTCATATCAAAGAATCACGCGCCTAAATTATTTCACAATACCAATATATTTCCCTAGCTCATAATATAATTTATTTCCTTTTCAAAAAATAGCAGAAGGACTTTAAGAAAAATTTGCTCTATGAGAATTAGGTAACTTAACCTAAAAGAAAAGACATTATAAAGAGAAAATATTTACAAGAAATATTTTAAATTAATGATATACTCCACAAAATACATAGACACGTGATGTCAACAGTCTGTAAACATTTATGTAACCAGGTTTGAGGCTGTTACAGCATTTTAAAGGTTCGAAAAAGGGCATAAACTGAGAGGGGGTGGGCACTTTTTTGTGGGGAAGCAGGGGTACCTATCTTTGTAACAGAACGGTTGTTACGGAGTAGTGCTCCGGTCCTGACTTATTGCAAACTGTATTGATGTAGTAGTGTTCAGAGCAGGACCGCTCCTCTCTGTGATTTATATGGCGGGTTGTCTAGGCGTTGGGACACACAGAGCACAACGTAGACTTGAATGAAAACTAAACAACTCAAACTCCAGGTGTCCAGGTGATGAAAATAATATTTGTATTATTAATAAAAATTTCTTCTGTCGCTATAACCAATTGTCAACTATATATATGAATCTCTAAAGCTACGACTTTCTAGACTATTTGACTCTTCCGTCTCAACTATTCCTGTGTTCAAATAGTCAACGTTCAATTATCGAAAGAAACAATCCCCTTTACCTTAAGATAGGGGAATCTATTAACCTTAACCTCACCCCCTTAAAAATGCCCTCCCAGCAGTTTCCGCCCATGCTATAAGTTACCTTAACAACAATGGAGCCCTGTCCTGTACCCCCGCCCCAGTCATTTGTGACAATCTTGGTGCGGTAGGGGAACACCATTTTAGGGCGGGAGGGGTAATAATAATAATAATAATAATAAGTGGTCTTATATAGCGCGGTACCCCGGCCTAGGGCTGGGCTCACCGCGCTGTACATATATAGCAAAGAGGCATAATCATACTATTAAAATAAAATACATAAATGAAATAAAAACAACATATAAGCAAAACAACACCATAGGTCTATTCATCCACCCACACCAGACATTTTTACAAGGAAACCCATGTACGTTTATCGGTTTATAGGAGGAGAATCAGTCAGAGTAGTATAGTTTAAATAGATGTGTTTTGAGTGCAGTTTTGAAGGCCTGTGTGGTTGTTATATTGCGGATGTGTAGTGGCAAAGAATTCCATTGTTTGGGGGCGCAGAAAGAGAAAGATCGTTCACCATATAATTTAGTGCGTGTCTTGGGAACGGACAGAATACGCGAGTCTGCGGAGGAGCGAAGTTGTCGAAGGGGTGAATAGACAGAAAGAAGTTCAGTTAGATAGGAAGGGCAGGAATCCGAGAAAAAGTTGTGACAGAGAAGAGACAGCTTGTAGTCAATGCGTGCCTGTATAGGGAGCCAATGTAGTGAGTGGAGTAGTGGAGTGACGTGATCGCGTTTTTTTGCCTTAAGAACAAGCCTAGCAGCAGAGTTTTGAACTTTCTGCAGTTTTTCTATAAAATGTTTCGGTGAACCTGACAGAAGTGAGTTGCAATAGTCAAGACGAGAGAGAACAAGAGCACAGACTAGAGTTTTTGTTGCGCTAACTGTCAGGTAGTGGCGGATGGAGCTGATCTGACGGATGGCGGTGTATGCCGAACGACAAATGTGAGAGATATGTTTATCGAGAGACATGTTGTTAGAAAGAATATAACCAAGATTCCTAGCAGAGGGTGTAAACTGTATGTCGGAGTTACCTACTTGAAATGAGGTGGGAAGAGTTGAGGTAGAGGATGATTTGTGATTGTAAATGAGGAGTGCTTCTGTTTTGTCATCATTAAGCTTCAACTTGCTGAGTGTCATCCAAGACTTGACATCATCAATGCACCCCCGCAAAGTCTGGACAGCGGAATCGACAAGAGATGGATGGGTATGCATGTATAGCTGTGTATCATCTGCAAATGACTGGTTCTCAACAGCATGCCTCCCGAGCAAGAGGAGTAGTGGTCTGGTATACATTATGAATAGAACCGGACCCAAAACGGACCCCTGTGGCACTCCGTACACCAAATCAGCACTGCCGGAGAGACAGCCATCGACAGAGACCATTTGCGTTCTATCAGAGAGGTAGGACCTAAACCAAGCCAAAACCGAACCAGAAATTCCAAAGTAGTTTTCAAGGGTTTTGAAAAGGATTTCATGGTCAACAGTGTCAAAGGCCGCACTGAGGTCTAAGAGGATCAAAATGGAGACATTACCGCTGTCCATTGCGCGCAAGAGGTCATTACTGACTCTCAAGAGAGCTGTCTCCGTGCTATGGAAATGTCTATAGGCCGACTGATTAGAACTGAGAAGAGAGTGATCATTTAAGTAAGCAAAAAGTTGTTTTAGGACTAGTTTTTCAATAACTTTAGATAAAAATGATAAGTTAGATACAGGTCTATAGTTTTTTAAATTATTTTCATCCAGACCGGGCTTCTTAAGCAATGGTTTGATGACAGCTGATTTGCAAAGAGGCGGAACAGTGCCAGAATATAAGCTTTCATTTATTATGCGGGTTATTGTTGGGAGCAAGATATCTAATGACTCAACCAACAGGGGGGTTGGGATGGGATCCAAATAACATGACGTATGTTTAGATTTTAGGATTATATTTTTTACCTCAAGTTCTGAAACAGGTTTAAAAATATTAAAATGGGAAGTAAGACAAGGGAAAGGAGGCAATTCAAGGGGAGGGGCATCAAGACGATCAAGCTCAGCTCGAATGTCAGCTACTTTGCTTGTAAAGAAATTACAGAAAATATCTGGTTGCTTGGGCAGGGGAAACACCGAAGGAAGCGCAGTTCCTTTGTTACTCCCCCTAAGGTGACCACAAACATCAAACAACTGCCTGCTGGTTTTACCCATAGTTATCTTTTGGCTAAAATACGTAGTCTTTGCCCGACAAACAATCTGATTGACACGCTTCTTGGGTACACGATCTCATTGGTGGGGTTGACCACTCAGGTACACGTGAAAGCGAAACAGAGCTTACGTGTCGCCTGGTGGCTCTATCGTCAACGCTTTTCACACACACACACACACACACACACACAATAATCATTACCATTGTGATAATTTTATGATTGTGGAATTCATTTTGTATTTCCCGAGTCCCATTTGAATACAAACCACGGGAGTGGCGACCACAAGGAGAATGTCTCCATATGTTGTACTTATGACCCTTTTATGGGCTGTTTTCATCACTGACATTGCAGCAGGTAAGTAAGATGATAGATTCGATTTTGTTTTGAGCGTCGATTAAAAAATTATTTTGAATTTACTTTTTTTTTATATCAGGTAGAGTGATCTTTTGAAAACAAAAAATACCTGCTTTTTGTTTTTTTGTTATGGAATAATAAAAATATTTTTAGTGTATACTTTATTGTTTAAAACGTTGTAATCTCCCATTGCATTTCGACATATTTAATATATGTATATTTACGTCTTTTGATTCCTCGATCGCTAATATTTAAAGGACTTTCAATTCCCAGCGAATATATCTTTGGGCTCAAAAAATTCCTCTAAAACCCATCAAATCAATAACATTCTAACGGGTTTTTACATATACAACAGAAGAACTGCCAACTGGCGCTGCACTGTTAAAAAAACAATCTGATCAGTTGGTGGGGTTGCTTTGGAATTTTTGGAATGATTTTATTGTTATAAATATTTTGTCAATTTTTTAAAAGCCGATTTGGTAGAGCAGTCAAATTGTAACCAACCGGCTGCAGCACACCCCTGGACTCACAGAAAGGACACACCCCTGGACTCACAGAAAGACACACCCCTGAACTCACAGAAAGGACATACTCCTAGACTCACAGAAAGGACACACGCCTGAACTCACAGAAAGGACATACTCCTGGACTCATGGAAAGACACACCCCTGAACTCTCAGAAAGGACATACTCCTGGACTCACAGAAAGGACACCCCCAAGGACTCACAGAAAGCACACACCCCTGGATTCACAGAAAGGACACACCCCAGAACTCACAGAAAGGACATACTCCTGGACTCACAGAAAGACACACCCCTGAACTCACAGAAAGGACACACCCCTGGACTAACAGGAAGAAAACATTTAATTTTAGATTGAATAAAACGAATTCATTAAATGGACAGGCGTACAGACGGAGAAGACACATCATGAATTCTTCAACTTCCCGGAAGACACTCGGTGTCATCTTATGACTACATCTGTAGTTAAATGGAATAATTATTGTAATACTTTAAGAATAACAGACGAAACTCAACAAGACTGAAGCAAGTGCAAAAAATTAATGGGCTAAGTACTACTGTATTGTACTGGACAGTGGCGTGCCTAGGGGAGACATGGGGGTTCAGCTCACCGGGCGGCCCTTTAAGGGTTTATATTATCATTATGTAAATTATATGAAGTTTTTGTGAGGGGTGTGCTTTTGGAGCGCAGATCTCGTGATACGCCGCTGGTTATGGAATTTAAATACTTTAAAAAAATGTAATTTGCTCTTAATAGATGATTTAATAAAATTATATATGGTTTGATCTATTTTTTCTTGTCTTCGTTTAACTATCACCTTGTCCATTGAGGCTACACCCTCACAAATCCATCCTTTGTTGACGAAGAAACTCCAGCTGAGATGTGCCGTTAAAAATGCCGGACGGCTTGCCGAAACACACAACAGATCTGCCAAAAGCTCTGAAGTAGCACTCAGCTTAATTTCAGACTTAAGCGGATTAGCTAATCCAAATCCATCCTCACTCCGACACGTTTCTTCAGACGCAAGTTTCTCCAAACTCCTTTCCATCGTCGTTACCAGGGTTAATGACGTGACTGGAATGACCGAGACAGTGACGAGTGTCACGGGGTGCAATGTACCAAAGACGGAGGAGAAGTTTAACTCAACCCTTGAGGTGGAAGGAAGCAGTGAAGGGTCTGACAGGGAGGATGAACTGGGTTATCTTCTCCTCACATGGGACAGACCTGTTGATGGTCACGCCGGAAATTTCACCTGCGAGACAAACGCCCTGAATTCAGACAAACATCCAGTGTACCTTAACGTGTCGCTAGAGATTACATCCGGTGAACCCAAAATTGCTGATTTGGCGAAGTACATCTATGCTAGAGAGAAAGAGATTTTATATCTTCAATCAGAAATGAAGAAAGAGAACGTGGCATTAAGACAAGAAATCGTACAGTTATTGTCCAACACTGCACACTTGGAGACGAAACTACAGCGCCTGAAGGCTCAGAACATTCAGACGGGAAATTTCAGCTGCACTGAAGAAACCGGAAGACTTATTTTCCCCAAATCATACACAGCCACCCCGACCGTATTCGTATCAATAACAGGGTTAGAATTCCAGTCCCACTTTTATCGCTCATCAGTCCAGTACCAGGCCTTGGTGCAAGAGGTCAACTCAGACGGATTCTCCTACACGTGCGAAAAATATGATACCGTGCCCACTATAAAGTGGCTGGCGATCGATAGCTAAACAACGGCTTTGCACGCAACAAAAATTCTCCATGGTAGCGTTAGATTGCATTCTCCACCTTTGCACAAATCGTGAAGTTTTCCTCGCCAACTTTTAAATCTTCCTTTTTAACGACAATAATGAGAACAGATTTTTTTTTGTATAGCAAATGTCAACTTTATTGAAACATTGCAATGCGTATTAGCATCAGTAAGCAATTAGACAGTTTTTTTCCAAACCAGTGAGTAAAACCAGAAACTTGAAATATCGTTATGAGCATAAAGTCTGTCGTAGCATAGCTCACGAGATTTCGTCATTATTATGCACACGTCAACTATTTTTTCTTCTAAAGAGCGCAGGGGAAAAAACAGTGAAACAAAATCACAAACTCACTCAGGCGAGTCCATATTCAACACAACGTAACCCGCTAACCACAACATATTAAACATTCACTGTATTAAACGAAATCATCACTATTGTAATTTTACAAAATCTGAAAGCGGCAATTTAAACTCCCGCTATATAACGCTACCCCGCTATATAAAGATACCGTTCTTTTACGCCACCCCCGCTATAACGCTAAGCCGCTATAACGCTACCCCGTTATATAAAGATACCCCTCTATTAACCCCCCCCCCGCTATAACGCTAAGCAGCTATAACGCTATCTCGCTATTAACCATTACCCCTCTATTAACACGATCCAATTTTATGTGACCCATTCAAACGTTAAATCCATTGGGTCCGACTGTATTACAAATACGTTACCGTTATAGAATTTTAAAAGTCGAATCTTTGTGAGACCTATGGGAATAACTTGAACAATGATTTTGTGTCGCTACAAATTACTTCAGGGGAGCCGAAAGTTGCTGACTTGACGAAGTACATCTATGTTAAACAAAAAGAGATTTTAGATCTTCAGTCAGAAATGACGAAAGAGAACCTGGCATTAAGACAAGAAATCGTAAAATTTTTGTCCAACACGGCAGACTTAAAGACGAAACTACAGGGACTTAAGGCTCAAAACATTCAGACGGGAAATTTCAGCTGCTATGATCAAACCGGAACTATAACCTTCAATATACCTTACACAATAGCACCGACTGGCTTCCTATCAACAATAGCTGTGGAATCTTATGATAGCTATTTCTCAAAGGGTGACAAGGTCTCGGCTCAAAGTATCACTACAACAGAGTTTACATACGCTTGCTCCAACAGTGAGTGTCCGTCCCACCTTCAAGTGGCTGGCGATAGATACCTAACACCAGGTTTGTCCAAAATGAAAGTCTTGAAAAGATCACACTTCACACATTAATTCCTAACCAGACGAGAAATTAAGGCACTAATTTCATGCTGTTTATTTAAAAACTAGAATAGGTTTGGGTCACATACTTTTTTTTTCCAACCCATAACCCTTTACCCCATTTGGGACATTTCTGTTAGGTCGCCAGGTTAACATATGCCAGTACATGGATGTTAGGTCGCCAGGTTAACATATGCCAGTACATGGATGTTAGGTCGCCAGGTTAACATATGCCAGTACATGGATGTTAGGTCGCCAGGTTAACATATGCCAGTACATGGATGCAGTAACATACCCTATACGAATCAGAATCAGAAATGGTAAACTTTAAAAAAATTATAACGTAACCTCAATTTTCATTTTCAGTCGGTTTCTTTAAGTTCAGATAATCATTTTTTTTTAAAAAGAAACTACAAGGAGCTTCTACACGAATCTCTTAGGTTGGAAAGCCAAACAAGAGGCTACAAAAACGCCAAGAACAGCGTCATATTAAATGTTATTATTTTTTAAACAGTTACTCTTTTACACCATCGTCTTAATTATGTCGTAAATTTAATTAATAGATCATTTTTTGAAAATCTATTTTCGAATTATTTTTTTAAAGCCTAAATACAATTTCGTTCATAAAATGGGTTCATGGTTTAAATGTTTTCACTATGGCATCCCCCCTTGTCCACTAATGCCAAGTAATAGATTGTGTAAATCATATGTAGCCGAATAAAGTTCAACGTTTTGGTATTGTCCAATCAAGTTAGTTTGACTCTGCTTAGAAAACTGTATTTTTTGTGTCGTAGTGTTTTGTAACAATGCAGTAGCTAAATGTAAGCAAGATGTATGGTTTTCTCTGAGTATATATTCAAAGTAGTCACCAGTATAATCTACAATAAAGATTTGATATCTGCAAAGGCCACCACTTGTCAGTTCTTGTATGATCTGTGTCTCATTGTCTGGCTTTGATCTTTAACCACAGACGACAATAAGTCACCTTTACCAATCAATGCATGGTTACCGTTTGCGTCTAATTGTATGCAACGTATGATTGGTTACCATTTGGGTAAAAATATGATCGACTTGGACGATGGAACTGATGCTGAGGCATAGTCTCACTCCTCGTCTTACGGTCCCATCTCTCTCTCTCTCGCTCTCTCTCTCTCTCTCTATCTATCTATCTATCTATCTTTATCTATATCTGTCTACTATCTCGCTCCATCTCCATCTCTTTCTCTTTCACGTTCATTCTTACTTGCTTTATCTTTGCTAGTTCTTCCATATCTTTTCCTCCATTCTCTTACTGCTCCAAATTACCAAACTCATCTAAAAAATATATACATTTTAAATTATTTTCCTACAGGAACTACTTAAAAAAGGACAATTTTTACCTTTCAATAATTAAAATAATTTTTAGATTTATCTTTCTCTAACTTTTCTTCTTTCTTTGAGTATTCACTAAACATCAACTACATCTATGTAATTTATATCGAATGTATTCTTGCTTCAAAACCAACAATTGAATTAAAACCTTGATTCTTAGCGCCACTTTCCCATTTGCTCCAACTCCATGGAGATGCCAGTCATCGATTAGAGACAAACGTAAATGATTGATTGGTGTTCGTCCGTCGAGGATCGACGATGACCATCGAGTCGTCCAGTGACTGATGACTTGCGCTAGTGACTTTTGTTTACAGTTAGGAAGAGTTGCGCGGCGTCCACCTCACTCTCTATTCCGGGCCCATCATATCCAGTGGCAAGACTCAATGTCAAGACGACCAGGGATGGGTACGGTTGCAGGAATTGTCATTGTATGCTCCTTACGGGACTCCCACTCCGGGTTTGAATTCATAATTTCCTTCTCTTAGATGAGTTGCCAGCCAAGGTAAACGAGTCTCATCTACCCGGGGGGATGTTTTTGCTTGACCGACCTTTGGCTGGACTTGAGGTTTGCTCAGTTTAGACCATTCGGCAACCCAGTCACCCATGCAGTGAATGACCATGGCGTTCTACGTGTCTGGCCGTGCTCTCATTGATTCACACCTCTGCGCTGTCTCCGCCTCTTGTCTGTTGACCAAGTAGTGGTTCATCCGCACAATTTTCCGGATCCAGTCTTTACATGCTATGGGGGACAAACCCTTTTTTCCGAAAGTTCTATGCCTTTCGGCTACCCTCAACCTGGAATCGTTGTCTGGGTTGTGGTCGCTGTTCATGTTACAGCTTCTTCGATCCACAGGTGAGAGCTGTTTACAGAGACTTCCAGGTGTTTCCGAGTAAGAACTATTCAGCCTAACAGGAGATCTATATTGTAGTTGTATTTAGAAGGAGAAATGCGTTGATAACAGCATAAATTCCAATTTCTGAATGAAACCACAAAACAATTAAAATTAATTAAAAATTCGAATTTTCTTGCGCCGAAGCCAATTTCCAATAATCATTTTTAACTATCTCATTTGCTTTACTGAAGCGCTTACACACTGAGATTCCTTCCTTTTGTGTATTATTATACCGCCATCTTGATGTTACCGGAAGTTAAGACAAACGTAAATAGTAAGACACTTAACCACATAGTTACCAAGTCTAGAGCTGTAATATTTTTTTGGATGGCTGTTAGTCTTTGAGATAGAAAGTTTATTAACGTTGCCCAAAAATGTTTTAATAAGGTTTGAATTTTTAGAACAAACTTTCATCTCGTGATAAACATAGCAAAGATGAGATAAAATTTAGAAGAAAATACAAATGGAATGTTTACTACGAGGTGCTGCTTTTATTCTCCCTTTCGCACTTTTCGCACTAAAGCTATATTCGACAGTGACTTGTTGAGAGGACCAAATATATAGTCAAAGGTTTCAGCATTCGAGCTGGCTTGCCAGTTCTATTTGTGTCTCGAAAGCTGCCTGCACGTAGCACACACGGGTTATTGGATCATACATTGGATTTGAGGTTTTTCTGCTTGTCCTTGCTGTGGGATTTCTATGGACGTGAGTGGTGCGTATACTCTCCGAGGATTGTGCTCTAAAAGTGTGTCTACATTTGTGAGTGAAGCCTTTATGCATTCTTTAAACTATTTTTTCACCGCCTACCAACTCAGCGTATACCTTTGAAAAGTTCGCAGGACATTAGTTCTGCAGGCAATCTGCTGTTTGGTATTCTCGCAACATGTCCTGCCCATCTGAATTTTCCTTTTTGCATGAACGTGTGGCTGTCCATACAGTCGGCCAGTTAAAAATTATATTTCAATGGCATTGTATTGCAACCTCATGCCAAAAAGTTTACATAAACAGCGTGAACAGACTATCAGAAAACGATCTAAATCATAAGGAGACAGACTAACTATTAGAAAAATATCTAAATCAATTGGAGACAGACTATCTAAATCATATGGAGAGAGACAATCTAAATCATATGGAGACAGACTGACTATCAGAAAAAAGAACTAAATCATTTGGAGACTAACTATCGGAAAAAAAATATAGTTCATATGGAGACAAGTAACTATTAGAAAAAGATAGGTACTTTGAAAAATATTTTTGAATTTGTGTATAAGAATGTAGACACAATGGGAAAACTAGTGCCATGTAGTCTCCCTCTGTTCACATTTGACACGCTCCTGAGCACTTTTTTCACGCTCCTGAGCACTTTTGACACGCTCCTGAGCACTGTTGACACGCTCCTAAGCACTGTTGTCACTCTCATCAGCACTGTTAAAACACACTTATGCATTGTTTAAACACTATTGTGCACTGTTGATATGTTCCTGTGTACTGTCGACGCACTACTATTCATTTCGGGATCCCTGGCTAGTGCACAACTAGTGAGATGCCCCTGTGCACTGCTGGGGCGCCCCTATGCACACTGGAGAGTTCACATCATTGGTGGATGTAGGCCACGATATGCAGAAACAAACACAAATAAACAACACAAAATGGAACGCATATTTCAAGTGCACTCTCACAAAAATATTGCTACGCATTCAGGAAAAGTAACTTCATTCCATAATCTCAAGGTTGTGGTATCGAAGCTAGGTTGGCCAGTTTTTGGAGCTGATCTTGTGAAATGTTTTTTCATATATTTTGAACTTCTTTAGACTATATGGCGACTGGCTGGTCAGAATGTGACCGTGGCGTAAGCTTTAGCCACACAAATTATGTCGACAAAGTAGTTGGAGTTCATTAGGAGTTGAGGTCGAGGAAACCGAGATGTCGCTGCCTGTTTCATATTTCGATACCCCAGACATGTCACTCTGGGGTATACACCAGAGATAAGATTTAATCTGGTGCCGGCAGTAGCAATAACAATGTGATAAACCTGTCTACGTCAAAGTGGTCCTCAAACTTGTGGGTAAAACGACATCCTTACATCTTTATACTTTATGGCTAAATATAGACCCCTGTCATATCAAGAACTTGTGTGCACCTGAAAATGGGTGGGAATATTTAAGACTGGTATCGATCGAGTTATTTAATGCTGAGATGACGATTGGATGTTTAAAAACTATCGATACCATCTCGAGTTATAAGGATTATTGCTCCTACTCTTACATTTAAGGTCAGTAACGACTTTCTATCTAAGTGAGCTCAACATCTGTCTAAGATTCGTGTCGTTATTTTCCCGATTATGTCCCTTGTCCAGAAAAATAAAGTGAAAGACTTAAATTACGACTCCACCAGTGAAACGGCCCAACTCCGATTACGAAGTTGTTGTTCAACCTCGATGATCTGCAACCAGTTCAGTCGTAATTAAAGCTGTAGAGCTGAGCTTGTTGAAAATGGACTGTAGACTTTATTTCAGTGTTTTATTTGGTGTTTTGTTGATGGAATTTGCCAAATGTAAGTTCTTTTAAGACTTAAAGTCCTTTTTTTTTTATTTGACATATTCATTAAAATCATCTAAACATTATTTCTTGCTCCAATTTTTTAAAATATATATTTATTATTTTGAATATAATTAAAGTGTATATCAAATGTGTGCATGTTTAATACGACCATGTATAATAATGTTTGACATTGTGGAACTAAATTTACTATCTTTACAGTTTAAACAGGTTCCATACCTTTTAAAGCTTTATTTGAGAGCCCGTTGCCATAGAAACATGATTCAACCTAGAAACGAAATAAGCAGTTATATTTAATCTTTTTTTTTTTTTTTTTTCTTTTGTTTTTTTTTTCTCTTATACTGAATGATAACGTGGAAAATCGAAAACAACTTATCTGATAGAACATTTAATTTCGATTTTTTAGGATATTAATAATTAATTCATAGATCAGATCCATATGTTAAGCGTCTTATACGTTACCTTGAGCCCAGCATATTTAATTTATGTGAGATGTTCAACTTATTTTCAACCACAAAGGGATTCTCTCGACTCCATCCATTGATGCCCACTCCTTCCACCGATGTTTAAGTTAGCTCCTAAATTACAACAATTTCTCCACCTAATAATAATTCTTTTTATGTTTATAGGAAATCAATTCAAACTTCAAATGATTTTAATATTTATTTGACTTTCTTAGCGTCTTACATAGCGTTGGAGTCAAACACGTCCGTCATCCATCCCATATTGACCAAGAAACTACAGATGCGATGCGCCGTCAGAAGGGATGCAAATTTCGGACAGGGGTCAGAGACGCAAACCCAACTTTACAACCTCATCACGGCGAGCCAAACTAAACACGCGTCTGATAGGATGAGCACACCGGAGAGGAAAGATTCCGAAGGACTGAACTCGTCGTCGTCCCATGCCGATCTGTATCGTCTTTTGTCTATTGTCATCACCGTCGGCGACAGGGACAACATTGCTAGTGTGACCGGATGTGACGCCCCCATCGTGGAGGAAAACTTTTCCGAGAAAATCCACGCGGACGGAAGCTGTGACTCGTCTCCTGGCGACGACGAACAGGGTTATCTCCTCCTCACTCTGGATAGACCCCTCGCTAAACACGCGGGAACCTTCACATGCGAGGCCTCCGCCCTTGACTCGGAGAAAAACCCCATCTCAATTAGAACATCTTTGAGAATCCTCGCGGTTGAGCCCACGCTTGCAGACGCCGTCGAGTACATCTCAATCAACGACAAACACATCGCAGATTTGAAAGAGCAGATCGTCCAACTCAGAGAAGAAAGTGAGACGATTAAAGAGGGGCAATCTAAGATGGAGCATTTCGAATATAACAAGATCAAAGGACAAAATATCCAGACTGGTGGCGCGACGTGTGACAGACACACCATCACATTCGCGAGGCCGTACAAGGAGCCGCCCACGGTGTTTGTGGCCATTCAAAGCGTCACCTCGAATTCCAATTACTTCTCCACCAACAGCGTCACTGTGGAAGAGGTCGATGAAGAGTCCTTCACTATCAATTGCGTAGCCGGCAGCTACCTCACGGCAACGTTTCAATGGCTGGCCATCGATAACTAACTTTACTCTTGTCCGGTGATGCACCTGGCCGATTATGTAAGAATTCTAGATTTCCATAGATTAGCGATTTAATATCTTTAGGAATAAAACAGAGCCGGACGTCTTATTTCGAATACTCACTAGAACGTCGATCATCCGAACCAATTGTAGTTCGACTCAGGGGACTCATCCGATTTCAAAAATAAATATGTTGTTAGTCATGTTTAGAGATGCGACTGCATTGACTTCAAATCACGTTGCTATTTGATTATTATTCTCATTTTAACTTACGAGAGGGCGTTCTTCCCAGACTTTATATGAGTGGCGTAACATAAGACCCTTCGCGGACCAACCCTTTGGGGAAACCTAGTTATATCAAAGGCGCCATGACTCAAACAATTTTGGGAACATCTGGCTTATTCTAAAAGCGTATAGTATGTTGATGTTGTTTTTTAAACATTATATCATTTATAATGTTCATTTAATTTTACATATTCTATAAATACCTTATATATTTTTCATTTTTTCAAGATTATCAGACACACTCAACATATGTTTTATATCGAAGCATGCGATGACAAGGGGCATATTTTACTTTTGGAAATGTAAACTTCAAGTTTTAACTTTATAGCCCCGCCCCAAACTTTGCTTTTGAGGTGCCTGGGATCATTCAAGAAAGATGGCCATTGAAATATCTAGAACAAACCAGTGTAAATGAGATTGTGATAATACTAAGGCCCTTCATCTCGGATGCCAGGCAGGTAGAACACGAGAGCGCTTGGCACGTTGTCCAGTTTGTCCTAGGCAACGAGTCTATGTGCGAAGTTTCAGCTTGATTTGTTGACTGGAGGTGGGTTAATTAACCGTCCGAAGATTTTTTCCAACCAGCAAGCAACGTACAAAAGTGATGTTTATATAAGGGATTTAACAAAATTACACACTGTCAATATTTTGTTTTGATGACGTGGCTATTACTTAATGAATGTAAATAAATAAATATTTTATTCAACAAACGACTTTTCAAATATTTTTTACTTGAAGCATTTTTCATTCGATTATTCTTCCCTTTAATGTTGTTTTTATCTCTCAGTGAGCTAATTCCCTTCTTTATTCATTTACTATTTCCTTCCTCCACTCTTTCCCACCTCCCTGTAATTTACCATCTCTCTCCGTCTCTCTCTTTCTCTCTCTCTCTCTCTCTCTCTCTCTCTCTCTCTCTCTCTCTTTCTCTCTCTCTTTCTTTTCTTCTCTTCTCCCTCTCAGACACTTTCTCTCTCCCTGTCTCCCACTCTCTCAGATTTTTTAACATAATAGGTTATTGCCATTTTGTTGTATCCTATAACCACTCATACTTGCTCTCTCTATCGCTCTCTCTATCTCTCTCTCTATCGCTCTCTCTATCGCTCTCCCGTGCCTGTGCCTCCTTGTATCTCCTTGTGCCTCCTTGTGTCTCCTTGTGTCTCCTTGTTCCTCCTTGTGTCTCCTTGTGCCCCCTTCTGTCTCCCACATCATGTCTATTTTTTCTATCTTACTCCTGCTCTCTCTCACTCTCTTCCACCCTCTCACCCAATGTCTTCCTTTCTCCGTCTGACTTCTTTTCTCTATTCCTCTCTCTCCTTCTCTTTCCGCCTCACTCGCTCTCTCTCTCTCTCTCCCTCTATTATATATCTCAATTTCTGTTCCTCTCTCTTCATATTCTTCATTCTCCCCTGTGGCGTGACGAATGTTGTCTAGGGGTCGGTCCCCTCTGTACTAGCCACAGAACAATTTTTCAAGGGTCTAGAACCCCTTTATTTCCAGCTCCTACAGAGCTGACTCTTGCTCCAAGTATCAACAAACAATTCAGGGATTCAGGTTTTCTTATTTATTGGCTATGTGTGCCTATATGCCACTACACAAAACAGTTAAAGTTACACAAGTCCTCTTCCATCCGTAGAAAAACTCACTGCCTTCATAAGACAAAAATCATACACCATATCCACAGCACTCGCCACTGCTCACTCCTTAAAAACTCAACTCACACACGTGGTTCCTCCCGACACAGCACACCGGTCATACCTTGACCGAGAAAAATAAAAACCCGTGATACACACGGGGAAAAGAAACTCACCCAAATTAACATAATAAAAGCTCACACAGACAAACTCACGCAATCTGACCGTGACACGCCCCCCCCCCTCACGAGTGACGTTTGGTGAAACCCAATGTTGCCAGTTTACAAAAAACAGCGGTCAGTTCGTGTGCATATTCTGGTAAACTTACATCAATATTTATAGCATAAAACATATGGATATTTTAGTAAATTTTCTCATGAAAGGTCTGTCTTAAAATACTGCGCTATCAACCGCTGTCAATCATACTTTGAAAGTCACTACTATTGTTATGGCAATGCATTGTAGAATTAAGACATCTCTAATGAAACATACATGGTAATAGATAAAATAATTACAATTCTTTATCATCTCAATATTTTCCTACAATCAAATTGAGCATTTATTTTTATACCTTGTCACAAATATTTAAATGTTTACAGCACATGAGTTCGAAAAATCTTAATTCAAAAATGAAAAAGTGAAGAAAAACAAATGTCAACATCTGAGCATGTGTGGACAGCCATGAATTATCCCCTCAATGTTTACATACAAGACGGTGGAATGTTTCGCTTATCCCCTTGTCTTAAAAAATCGTGGAGGTTATTTGATCCGCCCAACTCACCCCTCTCTCTTCTCGTGTTTGACCTGCACGGTCTAGTAGGCACGAATTCACCCAACAAGTCCTTTATACCCCAAGACCGTTTTGCTTCCCCCTAAGCTGTCCCTTCTCCTTTTTAACAAATACCATCATTGTTGAAAAGCAAAACACGTGTTACATTGTTAGACGTGCCAAATTTATTCAAATCAATTTTCCCATCGTCTCGGGGCAGAAACACTTCATAGTCTCTGTGAACTGTGACATGTTCAAAAATAACTGAGTTAAACTCGCGAGCAGCCAAAAACTGCGATCTCCCCTCCTCCTCAAAACATAACACACATGAGCTTGACTCAGGAGTGTCGGTGAACTCTGTCGAAGGTTCACCCTGACAAAATCTAGTGGGCGCTGCCCTGGTCAAGGTTACGGTCTCCACTTCATGGTACTCGCGACTTGACCCATTTTTAATTTTGCCACATCGCTTGCATGGAAGCGGAAGGTGGTTCATGCCTTCAACACCCGTGGGTGTGTTATCAAAAGCCATGAGTGTGCCATCAAAAGCCTCTGGCACCCTACAAACCTCAGTCACTCTCTCAACATCAATAAGTAAAGTATCCGTAACACTATGTTCATAAACAATATTCTGATCACAAACAACTTCTCTGGGTTCATAATCAATATTACCATCAAACAAACTACAAACCTCAGTCACTCTATCAACATCAATATGTGAAACATCAGCAATACTAGGCTCACAATAAAAAATATCATTAAATCATCTACTTTGGGTTCATAAGCCATAAAACAATCAAAACCATCACTAGAAGAATCAACAACACTATGTTCATTATCAATATTTTTATCAAAATTTCCATCTGAACCATCTACACTGGGTTCATAATTAATATCCCAATCAAAACAATCATCCAAAGCATCAACAACGCTGTGCTCATAATCAATATTATTATCAAAGTCCCCAAATGAAACATCAATACCACTAGGTTCACTAATGGTGCAAGGGCGATAGCCATCCTGCACATCATCACATTCGTCCTGTTTATCCACATTATCCAACTTATTTTCTCTTGTTTCGGTGTCTTCAAAATATTCATCAACTATACCAAACTGAAAAAATTCCGATTCATCATTTTTCCTAGTATTGATACTGCCCCTTTCTACATTTGGATTTTTAGTTTCTGACAGACTTACCCAAGATTTGTTCTCTCGACACCATCTAAGCTCATTCCCACTAACTTCTACCTTAGTATATTTCCTCGGTCTATATTTCCCATAACTATTTTTTAAAGGCCCCCTCCCGCTTGATTTCTTTAAAAGCTTTCCCATCAACTTTACTTTGAGTAATGCTTGGACCCTCGTCCAAACAATTCGACGTTATGTCAAGATCTTTAGTCATGTGACTATGTTCTTCATTAGTAATTTTATATTCCTTAAAGGTGTTTAGGTCAAAAGGTTTATTAGAATTTAATTGCTCATAAATTTTTCTCACCACAGATTCTCGTGGCCTATAAGCATAGATCCATCTGACACATTCTTCTCTGATTTCCCACATAGATTTCTCTTTCTGGCGTATGTCTACTCCCACCTTCAAACTGTCTTGTCCCTGTTGATCCACAATCGGTTTTACACTAAAGGCCATGTCTCCCTGTATATTGTCCTCATTTTCCTTATCATCCAGAGAAAATTGTCCACTTTCAGTACCAGTTAGTATACTAGCACTATACCCAGACATTTTTCTCTCATGTTCTTTGATTCTTTCATTTTCTTCTGCTCATATGCGCGAATTTCCTCTTCTTCTTCGCGAATCTCTTTTTCCCTAACAGCTACCCATTCTTTCGCTTCCTCCCCTTCTAATCCCAAATCTATTGCCATTTGTTTAATTTCGGCAATAGTAGGTAACGACATTTTTATCTCTAAGTCTTATGTCAATATATATGTTTACAAAAAATTTACAGATAGAAAATGGATCAAATGAAATGAGTAATAAAACAATAGAAATTGCAAATCAAATAGCTAAATAATGTACTTAAAATAATTACTTGTGATGGTTCTCTTGATAGGTGGCACTGGGATTTCGGATGTATTGATAAGTATAATCCATGTGTTCATGTGTATTTTCGTAGGTAGATAGGGTTGGAATATCTGGTGTCTCCAATAATCCAATGTCACTAAAAGTTAAGGTTGGTATAGCTGTCTGGCTAGTTTGTATGGCTTTCCTCTGGACTGGTATGGCCGTGATGATTGTTTGGACGAGTTGGTGTGGCTGGTTGGTCAGGCCCTCTCTGTGATGAATGGTAGGCTGGTAGGGTTCTTTGGACGAGCTGGTGTGGCTGGTTGGTCAGGCCCCCTCTGTGATGAATGGTAGGCTGGTAGGGTTCTTTGGATGAGCTGGTGTGGCTGGTTGGTCAGGCCCCCTCTGTGATGAATGGTAGGCTGGTAGGGTTCTGGTGTGGCTGGTTGGTCAGGCCCTCTCTGTGATGAATGGTAGGCTGGTAGGGTTCTTTGGATGAGCTGGTGTGGCTGGTTGGTCAGGCCCTCTCTGTGATGAATGGTAGGCTGGTAGGGTTCTGGTGTGGCTGGTTGGTCAGGCCCTCTCTGTGATGAATGGTAGGCTGGTAGGGGTCTTTGGATGAGCTGGTGTGGCTGGCTGGTCAGGCCCTCTCTGTGATGAATGGTAGGCTGGTAGGGGTCTGGTGTGGCTGGTTGGTCAGGCCCTCTCTGTGATGAATGGTAGGCTGGTAGGGTTCTTTGGACGAGCTGGTGTGGCTGGTTGGTCAGGCCCTCTCTGTGATGAATGGTAGGCTGGTAGGGTTCTTTGGACGAGCTGGTGTGGCTGGTTGGTCAGGCCCTCTCTGTGATGAATGGTACGCTGGTAGGGTTCTTTGGATGAGCTGGTGTGGCTGTTTGGTCAGGCCCCCTCTGTGATGAATGGTAGGCTGGTTGGGTTCTTTGGACGATATGATGTTTTTTTAACTGCCTCTACTGTGGTGGATGGTCTTCTATGGTTGGTTTGGACTTAGCTGAACCTTTGAACCACGTATCAAATGATGAGCTAGCAAGGTTGGATCGTGCTCCCACGGTGGCAAATTGCGGGCTTAGATGGCTGCTCCACTTTGGTGGATGGTTAGGGTTGATATGGCTGCATCGAACGGCCTCCCCTTTGGCTGATGGTTGCTTTGATGTGCCGCAACGACGGCGAATGGTAGGTTTAGATGGCTACTTCATTGTGATGGATGATTATGCTTGAAATGGCTGCTTCGACAGCCTTCCCTGTGGCTGGTGGTGGGCTGGGATTGTTGCTTTGATATGCCTCATCGATGGCGAATGGTAGATTGGTATGGTTAATCCACTGTGGATGGTTGGTGGACTTGGATGGTTGCCTTAATGTGCCGCGACGATGGCAAATGGTAGATTTGTATGGTTAATCCACTGTGGATAGTTGGTGGACTTGGATGGTTGCCTTGATGTGCCGCGACGATGGCGAATGGTAGATTTGTATGGTTAATCCACTGTGGATAGTTGGTGGACTTGGATGGTTGCCTTGATGTGCCGCGACGATGGCGAATGGTAGATTTGTATGGTTAATCCACTGTGGATAGTTGGTAGACTTGGATGGTTGCCTTGATGTGCCGCGACGATGGCGAATGGTAGATTTGTATGGTTAATCCACTGTGGATAGTTGGTAGACTTGGATGGTTGCTTTGAAGTGCCGCGACGATGGTGAATGGTTTATATGGTTCAAGAGAATCCACTGTGGATGGTTGGTAGACTTGGATAGGTGCTCCACTGTGGTGGATGGTTGCTCCACTGTGGTGGATGGTAGACTTTGATGATATGGCTGCTTCGACGGGCCCCCACTGTGGCGTGACGTACGTTGTCTAGGGGTCGGTCCCCTCTGTACTAGCCACAGAACAATTTTTCAAGGGTCTAGAACCCCTTTATTTCCAGCTCCTACAGAGCTGACTCTTGCTCCAAGTATCAACAAACAATTCAGGGATTCAGGTTTTCTTATTTATTGGCTATGTGTGCCTATATACCACTACACAAAACAATTAAAGTTACACAAGTCCTCTTCCATCGTAGAAAAACTCACTGCCTTTCACAAGATAAAAAATCATACACCCTATCCACAGCACTCGCCCCTGCTAACTCCTTAAAAACTCAACTCACACACGTGGTTCCTCCCGACACAGCACACCGGTCATACCTTGACCGAGAAAAATAAAAACCCGTGATACACACGGGGAAAAGAAACTCACCCAAATTAACATAATAAAAGCTCACACAGACAAACTCACGCAATCTGACCGTGACACGCCCTTACTTCCTCTACTCCCACTCTCTCTCTGTTCCTCTCCTAATCTGTATCTCCCCTAACTCTTTCTCCATCTCCCTCTCCAAACGTTCTTTCCCTCTCTCACCCTATATCTCCCTGCCTCTCTATTTACTTCTCACCTGTCTCCCCGTCTCTTTCCCTCTCTATTTCTTCTTCTATCTCTGACTTTATCTCGACTTCTCTCTCTCTCACTCTCTACATCTCTCCATGTCTTTCCCTACGTCTCTCTCTCACCCTGTCTCTACCTCAATTTCACTCTCTCCCTGTCTTCCTTCCCCTCTTTAAATTTTCCTCTCTCTCTCTCTCTCTCCATCTCTCTCCCACTGTCTCGCCCGAATTTCTTCGTCTCGTTCTTCCCCTGTCACTCTCCATCTTTCTCCTTCTTTATCACCTCACTCCTTCCCCCTCTAACTAGCCATCTTTCTCCAATTCTCACTCTTTCTCAATTCCCTATCTCTTTCTCTCTAACTCAGCTTTTTCATAGTGTCCTCATATCATCTAAACATATGATGTTTCAACTTAAAATTCCTATCCCCCGGGTCCAAACATGGCGCAAATTTTTGATCTAGTTAACCAAAGTTTAGAAGAAAAAATGTTTTTTCATGTCACTGAAATCGCAAACACTCAAGTCAAACAAAAAACTCTTTAAAAGCAACGGCCCTTTAGAGCCACTCCAGGATATCAGCTGATTACAATAGAACCGAAACTTCCGTTCTAACAAGAGCACTTAATCAATGAACTACCGTACTCGTGCACATAAAAAGGTCGACACTATATACCAAACAATTCATTTACTTAAAAACTTTCCAGAATATAACATCACGCACTCATTTTTTTTTTTTAACCACCAGACGGACAACAACAACAACATTGACTTAAAATGAATTTGATAATCTCGAGCTTGTATGCAATCACTCTGATAGCACAGCATGTGGATGTCACGGCAGGTTAGTCAGATTATTAACTAACATACAAAGAAGTCACCCAGTGCAATGTGCTGAAAATTATATAAAATTCAACGTTTTAAAATTCTAAAATTAGCAATGAAAATGATGTGAAAGTTTGTGATGACAATAGTGATGGCTTTCTTCTTTCCGAAGACTACAACGTTGAGTCGATGTTTCAGCGCCAGATTCCGTCTCAGACGTAAACATTTATTTAAACAGTTCATTTAAGGTTATATAAAGAGTTCATAACACATATGACATGCAACATGCAGGATGGCACGTAGCTTTTCTGTTGCTGGACCTGTGGGCAAAAATATCTCCAGGTTCTCCTGATGCTAAAAATGTAACATTTCATACTCGGCAATTCTTCAAATATCTCATGAGCTTCTCGGATCTCCATATCGCCTGTCACGAAATATATTGATTTAAAATACAAGATGATCCTTTGGCATCAAAATTTCTGAAAGAAAACAAACTGTACAATGATAGTGAGAACAAAATAATTTACTTTGGTACCCCCCCCCCACGCCCCCTCCCCTCTCCCCCCCAAAAAACCTGCTCAATGTTTGGGGGCTTCGTGTTCATTTATTAGACAAGAAAATCTACAAAATATTTGATACTTTATGTGATTTTGGCATCAAAATTTCTGAAAGAAAACAAACTGTACAATGATAGTGAGAACAAAATAATTTACTTTGGTACCCCCCCCCACGCCCCCTCCCCTCCCCCCCCCAAAAAAGCTGCTCAATGTTTGGGGGCTTCGTGTTCATTTATTAGACAAGAAAATCTACAAAATATTTGATACTTTATGTGAAGAGTGAATCAAGAGAGACAAACATACAGTTCATCGTCTCAAAACAATTCTTTACATACTTGATTGTCGTTTAACCAACAAACATATAGATCTTTATTTATTTTACACACTACCCCTAGGCTACATTTATAGGACTGAATGTAACAAAGCTGGTGGCGAAATCGGCATTTCACAACTGGAATCCAATCAAACTGATACTATTTCTTATTAAGACAGGTTAGCTTTGAGTTTGTCACAGAAAAATTGACCAAACATGTTCTTTGTTTTCGCTTTGTCAAAGCGCGAGTGTTCACATAGGTCTCCAAACAATTACCTCTTGGTTGAAACTCTATCACCAAAAGTTCGGATATTAGTGGGACTTTGTTGTTTTTCTTTAGTAGATTTTTTAATTAGATTTACATTTTATTAGAAATTTGATTAGAGATGAGTCCCCAAAAAATTAACAGTGAATTTGCAGCCCACCAATTTTGATGCTTTACTGTATAATTCTACCACTGTAGCGGCGAAGCTGGTGTTCCACACGAATGAACCAGTGGTTCACATGGTGCTGACCAAACAACTCCAACTCAGGTGCTCTGTCAGTTCCATCGACGCCATGGCTTCAAACACGAACACGGCGGTTTCGGCAAGTTCTGACGTCGCCCACGCCATTTCCATCATCATCACAAAAAGTAGCAACGTCACTGGACAAGCGGAACCCGTCGCGAGCATATCGCAGTTCGAGCCGGCCAGTCCTGATGGATCGCCAGCGGAAAATTTACACGTGGAAGGTAACATCACGGAAAATTCACCGATGAAAGAGCTGGGCTACCTTCAAGTGACCTGGAATGGCCCAACAGGGGCGCAAGCCGGGATCTACAAATGTGAAATTACGGCTCTGACCTCCAACAAGCACATCGTCGAAATAAATGGCAAACTGAACATCACGGCCTCAGAGCCTGGGGTCTCGGACCTGATCAGGTTCATCATCGAGCACGACCGGCTCATCAACCAGCTGCAGATCACCAACCAGGAACTCGTCAATAAAACCGAGGAGCTGCGGGCCAACCTGACGGCGTCGAACAAACTCCTGGAAAACACGATCATCAGCGACGTCAGATACCTCCGATCCAACATGAGTAATTACGGCAGTGAGCTGAGCTGGATAACGGACAGGCTCAACAGCACCCAGCTGGAGTCGGGACTGAACGGGTGCAGCAACTACACCAACGTGGTGTTCCGTAGAAGCTACACGCAGACGCCGCGTGTGCTGGTGTCCATCGCCAACGCCATGTTCGACAGCCTCTCTTCTTTTGATTTTGGATTCGAGGTCTACGTGATCAATGTCACGCTGCGTGGATTCACGGCTTACTGCAAACGAACTGGAGCGGGCTTTCAGGCCAACTTTGCGTGGCTGGCCACAAGTCAAACCGAGAATTTCTAGTGGCCGGTGCTGGAATATAAATAAACATTTGGTAGAAATTGAGAAAAATATGTGCATCTAAATGGACATAAATGAAAGATGAGAATTCTATTTGAGAGTACATTGAGATAACGCTGGGCTGACGCAGAAATAATCTAAGAATGCATTGTTTATTTAATCAGTATGTTGTCATTCCATCTTTGTAAATTAATAATAAGTGTACGATAGTTTAAAGCCAAACTGATCTATTATGCACTTCTTTGTTCTGATGTATACGTTTCTTGCATCATTAAAAGTTTTGAGAGGTATTTTTCTGCTCTATATCATTCGCCTACCTCACCCCTTTTCTTTCTCTAAACATGACCTTAAATGACCAAATCTAATTGATCACTAATTAAATCATTAATGTCGCTAAAGGAGTTCACTGATGACTAATTTCTACGCTAGAGAAACACTTAAGATGTCAAGTTTTTTTAATTGTTTAATTGTTGGGCCTGCCCCACCGCTTTTCGTCCCCGTAAACTAAAAAAGATTTTCACTTAAAGGTGTGAAAACGTAATCTTAAATTTACAACAAAACCTCTATAAAGCAATTTAAAAACTTTTATTTGAACTGAATTTGATATACTGATACATAAAAATGTAACCAAAAAGTTGATTTTGTTTTCTACGCTATTATCGGAAGATCGTAAAAGAAAGAATTATTTTATCAAAATAAGATCTCTTACCCGTTTGTTGACGTCCTTGGGTGTTTTTTTTTAAATTCATAATTGTTATTATTATTTTCATAACAATATTCACCAACTTTACGTTCCGCAAGTAAAAACAATCAGATCGTTTCATTTTTTTTAAAAATCTCAACCTATCTCTATTTCACAAAATTCAATTTTCGCGTCTGTAAAATGATTGTGTTTTGATGTTGATGAGTAGACGTATGCAAATGTACCCACGTTTTGTTAACGCCATTGATTTTCTTAATTGTTAAAAATGTGCTTATTTGTAAAAAGAGAATGTAAGATGTCCTTTTCACAACTGTAATATCATTTGATGTAATTATAGTTGTGTTGGGGTTTCAGATGTGACTTAATACATAAGTGAAAGATAAATTATTTGGTTTGTAGATTTTTATATGCAAATGTTGGAATGATGCCCACTTTAAAACAAGCTGAAGATGTTTAAAAATAAGTTGAATCTGTTTACCGTACCCTCAAGACACAGATAAAAAGAATCATCCACACACGAAGTCGCCATTAAAGTGAATACTTTAAACGACAGAGACTGTTTGTCTATTGATAAACTATTTTGGATTTCTTCGGCTCCATTAGCAAGCAACTTATAACTTTCTCTCAGCACAAAATTTAACGATGTCAACCATAAATGTCGATAAATTAAATCCAACTTTCTCAAAATTAGCCTCTGGAGACAAATTGATACCCGCTCATCAGCCCTATTTTGCAAATATAACTGTAAAATTTGTTGTCATTTGGAACAAGAGCCCCCACCATTTGCTATCATTGGTAACTAGAACCCAAACATATTTAGGCTGGGGTGTTGGGGGCACAATTATGAGTTAGAAAAATGTGTCTTCATAAATTGAAGTTTAATATAGGATTCTCTAGATTTAAAAAAAAACGTGTTTGAAAATCTAAGAAAAATATAAAACCAAATGTAACAATTACATCCCCAGCGGCTCACCTAACGTTTGAAAGCTCACCTGCCGTCATTTACCCTGTCGTTACAAAACAGCTGCGCCTGCGCTGCTCTGTCCAGTCGACCAGCCCCGCTACCACCGTTACAACCCCGACACCAATGAACACAACAAATCCAGGGATATTGGTGATTATCAATCCTCAGATCCAGTCCACGAATGACGACGGTGACGTCAGTCATGTCATGTCCATCATCATAGCCAAGAAAGACAACACCACCGGTCAGTCGGTGAACGTGGCGAGCGTCACAGCGTACGACCAGGCCACCGCCGAGGGTCCTTTCAGCGGCAAAGTCCGCGTCGAAGGTAGTAGCGAGCAATCCCACGCCACCAGCGAGCTCGGTTTCTTGGAACTGATCTGGGACGGCCCAGCTGAGGACCAGGCGGGACTCTACACTTGCGAGATATTCGGACTCAACCTCGACAAGCATTCAACGTACCTGCGAACGTCCAAAGAGGTGATCATGTCGGAACCAGACATTGCGAGCCTAGTCAACTTCATCATTCAGCACGACACCGTAATTCAACAGCTGGAGTCGTCGAACGAAATGCTGAGAGACGAAGAAGCCCGCCTGCAGGCGAACCTCACGGCCAACCATGAGGGTCTCCTCCGGGAGGCGCTGAAAGAAGCTGAACTCATGATGTCCACGGTGACCTCTTCGCAGAGAGAGCTGGACACGATATTAGAGAAGGTTGAACATTCTCTGATACAGACGGGGAAGGAGGAGTGCAACAACGCCACTGATATCACGTTTCGGCATTACTACAACAGCACACCGGCCGTGCTGCTGTCAATCACAGACGCAGAGTTCAACCCGAATCTTGTCTACTGGCCGTATCACGAGGACTTCGGTTTCCAGGTGTATGTGCAGACGGTCGACAACTATGGATTCAGTGCGTTCTGTAAGAGAAAGGGCAGCAACTCATTTGCCAACTTCACTTGGTTTGCGATGGACAAAAACATTTTTTAAACTGCACAGAATAATCCTCATTAAAATAGTTACGTGAAATTAAGACCCATATTTTCCTTCACTTTAGTGTTGCTTTTAGCGTTCTTATAACGCTCAGACTAAGAGCCTCACTGAGCACACAGGAATATTGGGGAATACAATAAATTCTATCTCATTAGTGATCCTCAATTGCCCTGTATTTCTCTTCTTATTCCTTACATTTTACATATTTCCATACATGTTTGTCCGTTAAAATCTTATTTTTCTCAGTGATAATACATAAATTCGTAAACTTCCTGTAATCGTGTTTTTGAAAAAAAAAAAACCTCCGACAACACATGAACATGGCGAACACTTTAGTTTTAAAAAAAAACACGTTTTCTATTATTTGGCTATTTTTCATTAGCCCTGTCTGCTTAGGAAGGCTCTTGGCCGAAACGCTTTTCTGTTATCATCCTGTCTTTCTTTATCCCATTACTTTGTTCTTTTTTCTTAGGTTTACACATTAGTCTGGTTTAGCGACTAAAAACATAATACATTTTAAAACATAAAAAACTAAAACCTAAAATTAAAATTATGCAAAAAAACGTTAGTTTCATCGCCATGACATGAGATGTGTCCGAAATTATGGATTTTCAAACCCTTAATATGGAGACATAGTAATACAACTCATTTTTATATTTACAACACAAAAATGCATGTTCAACAATGGTTTACATCATATTCAGACCGGTGGTGGGTACAAGGGAAAATTTCGTGAGCAGGTTTAAATAAAACTTGGTGCCGATGGCTGTCACAGCAGGCCAGACATTTGAAACTTGGTGCCGATGGCTGTCACAGCAGGCCAGACATTTGAAACTTGGTGCCGATGGCTGTCACAGCAGGCCAGACATTTGAAACTTGGTGCCGATGGCTGTCACAGCAGGCCAGACATTTGAAACTTGGTGCCGATGGCTGTCACAGCAGGCCAGACATTTGAAACTTGGTGCCGATGGCTGTCACAGCAGGCCAGACATTTGAAACTTGGTGCCGATGGCTGTCACAGCAGGCCAGACATTTGAAACTTGGTGCCGATGGCTGTCACAGCAGGCCAGACATTTGAAACTTGGTGCCGATGGCTGTCACAGCAGGCCAGACATTTGAAAACTGCACGGTTTACCGGTTCAAATTCCTTTGATCCACGATCACAGTTGGCTTTGTTGGCAATTGCTGTCTTTTCATGTGTTTCATCCGACGACAGTATCCAGTCCTTAGTGGGGGAGAAAATGTTTCGCTCTTTGGGGAATTTCACTTTTAATTCATTTTGCACTTCCTGGAGTTGCTGCTCTTTTCATTCTATGTTTTGTCTCTAACAGTTTTCTGGTCTATGTATGTATAGGCTGTTGATGTTGTGGGGTAGGCCAAGTGAAAGTGCTATAGGCTGTTGATGTTGTGTAGTTGGGCAAGTTTAGGTGCTATAGGCTGTTGATGTTGTGTGGTTGGCCAAGTTTAGGTGCTATAGGCTGTTGATGTTGTGTGGTTGGCCAAGTTTAGGTGCTATAGGCTGTTGATGTTGTGTGGTTGGGCACGTTTAGGTGCTATAGGCTTTTTGATATCATTAGAGTTTATTTTAGAGAGTTCGACGAAGGTAACCTGGGGCGCTTCTGTTTGAAATATTTTATTGCTCAAAAGTTCATAGTTATACACTTGTTAAAATTATATTTGCACCTCTCATCGCTGCAAGGATAAATCTAAGTCTCATAAATTTGATATTGCCCTATTTTATTTAGCTAGCATCACCTTCCAATGTCTTCCTAGCAGCAAAAGAACTATTTAAATTTCCACACGTTCTTGAGTCCAAAGTATTCTCACATCCGACCTTCTTTCGAAACAAATCTCCAGGTCCGTATCACTCAGCCGTGATAGTTAGTACTTGACCCATACCCTTACATCCCCTTGCACTTGATAACACTCACACATTTTGATAACCGAAAAAAAAAAAGTACAACGAAAGAAGAAATGACATCTGTTTCCTTTTCGTTAAGATGTACGGACCTGTACGGAGATTAGAAGCACAAGTAGCTACTTGTAGAGACAACATTCATGGTCAAAATATTGACAGGGGGAGATAAATGACCGGAAAAAAAACTTAAGATAACAGGGGTTATCTCATTTTAAAGTTACTACTAAAATTCGAGTGGTTTCATCTCACAATTCTTTTATACCAAAATTGTAGGACTTGGACTCTTTCACGCAGAACGTGTGTACAGATGCACTCTATCGGGGTGAAGGACGTGACCTCAATATTTCAAACTTGCGTAACTTGCACTTCCGGGTTGGATAAATTCTTTACCGCCGGGGATTCTCGTGGCAGACTTAGCGTACAACAGCTAAGTCAGTTTGTGAGGGGAAAAGACTTGTTTACACAATAATAATTTTACTTGCTACCGATACTGAAAAGTAAAAAAAAAGCAAAACAGGAACATATCAGATTTGACGTCATCTTCTAGTATTGCCGATAGCGACAGCAGGCAGAGTAATATGGAAGTGTTCATTTATTTTACGCTGGTGGTGTCGGCCATTTTGGTTACTAATATGTCATCCGGTAAGTTAGGAATATCTTCAATCATCACTCTTCAATCATCACTCTTCAATCATCACTCTTCATTCATGAATCTTCAATCATCACTCTTCAATCATCAGTTTTAAAATAAAATTTTAACTATTAGCAACGCTCTTCAATCATCACTCTTCAATCATCAATCTTCAATCATCACTCTTCAATCATCACTCTTCATTCATCAATCTTCAATCATCACTCTTCAATCATCAGTTTTAAAATAAAACTTTAACTATTATCAACGCTCTTCAATCACCACTCTTCATTCATCAATCTTCAATCATCACTCTTCAATCATCACTCTTCATTCATCAATCTTCAATCATCACTCTTCAATCATCACTCTTCAATCATCACTCTTCATTCATCAATCTTCAATCATCACTCTTCAATCATCAGTTTTAAAATAAAACTTTAACTATTAGCAACGCTCTTCAATCATCACTCTTCAATCATCACTCTTCAATCATCACTCTTCAATCATCACTCTTCATTCATCAATCTTCAATCATCACTCTTCAATCATCAGTTTTAAAATAAAACTTTAACTGTTAGCAAAGCTCTTCAATCATCACTCTTCAATCATCACACTTCAATCATCACTCTTCAATCATCAGTTTTAAAATAAAACTTAAACTATTATCAACGCTCTTCAATCATCGCCCTTCAATCAACATTATTCAATCATCGCTCTTGAATCAACATTATTCAATCATCACCCTTCAATCAACATTATTCAATCATCGCTCTTGAATCAACATTATTCAATCATCACCCTTCAATCAACATTATTCAATCATCGCTCTTGAATCAACATTATTCAATCATCGCCCTTCAATCAACATTATTCAATCATCGCTCTTGAATCAACATTATTCAATCATCGCTCTTCAACCACGAGTTATTAAAAAAAACTTTCGAGATTATCAATCCTCTTCAATCATCGCCAACCAATCATCAGTTATTAAATTAAAGCTTAAATCAGAAGTATCATTGCTCTTCAATCATATCTCTTCAATCATCACTTTTCAATTATCGTTCTTCAATCATTACACTTCAATCATCACTCTTCAATTATCAGTTATTAAAATAAAACTGTAACTAGTATCAACGCTCTTCAATCATCGCTCTTTAATCAGTAATCTACAATCATAACGCTTCAATCATCGCTCTTCAATCATCGCTCTTCCATCATCGCTCTTCAATCATCGTTCTTCAAATATCGCTCTTCATTTACCAGTAATCACAATAAAACTTTCTGGAAAGATTCCTTGTAAATAAAAAAAAAAATATTCATCCAACAAAAACCTTATTTAGTCAAGCTATTTTACAAGTTCATTTTGACAGATAATTAAGGCTCTGTTCTTAGAGGAAAATTCGCGTTTTTTATTATTATTTTTATTAACAACTTAATTTTTTTTAAAATACATCTTCATTGAAAATATCGCATTTAAGTGATGACAAAATAGAAATACTTTCCTTCGCGTCCAGCTGCTGCCTCCATTGTTGAGAAAGTGATCAGCTCAATGATTTGCGTTGAAGTCTTTGTTTAGAAGTGTTTTGTTTGAACGCCCCCTAAATGGAGACTTTGTTTGTCTCATCAGGTTCATATCTCACACTGGAAGTTAGCTCTAATCCTATTCTGTCCGGGCTGACCAGAACATTGACAATGTCGTGTTACATCAGAGATGACAGCTTCAGTGCTGCCCCTGGGTCAGCCAAAGACATAGACACGCCAAACTCAACACCAACTTCAGTCAAAACAGCCCCATCACAATCGACCGCACTACCGACTGTAAACGCCGAAACCACTCAAGCAGCAATAAACAGCCCCACAACAAATACCGTCCCCAACCAGAAACCACTGCTGCATGTGACGTCATCTCCCGCTGAAGTTTTCCACCTGATGTCCATCGTCATTATAAACACAAGGTCCCCAGGAGAAGGTGAAACCATTGCCGAAGTCACACCTTACAACCCACCAGCAGCAGAGGGTACTTACGTCGGCAAAGTACAGGTGAATGGTAGTGTATTACAAACACAGGCAAATGGTGAGTTCGGGTTCCTCAGTCTTATTTGGACAGCTCCTCTTGACGACCTGGTCGGGACATATACGTGCGAGGCCAATGCGTTGACCCATTCTGGACGCCTGGTGACTCTCACTGGATCGCTAGGAATCCAAGCGAGACAACCTGAAGTCGAAGACCTGGTCCCATTCATCATAGGTTTTGATAACCGCATCGCTCAACTCGAGCAGGAAAACCAAGAACTCAAACATAGACTGGACTTGCTAAAAGTGTAAAGAGAAATATTACATGCAATTTTCGTAAAATAAGATAGACTTCTTATGCTATATCAATATTTCTACATATCCATGATATCATAAAGATTTTTCAAATATTGATGTTTACAATCATACAGAATATAAAGATCATTTCCACACAAAAAAATGTTGTTTTCGTCTTATTCGTCAGTGTGTTAGTTTTTTGTTTGTACTTTTCTTTGTGGTTGTTGTTTTATGTTGGCATGGAAAAAAATTTGAGACGGAATACAATAATTTGAAACAATTCAGAAGGTTAAAACTTCAACAACTCCGATATGACTTCTGTCATAAGGTGGAGGAATACAAACTTAACCACTTGTATTTCTCACGTAAAAATATACATAAGAATTATTTTTTTCGATCTCTCAGCCTGCTGTAAATACACGTAGGTTTTTTGTAACTACACACAATAATCATCGATTCGATACCTTAACGTGATATAAGCACTCGTTGGTTTTAATAGCATTGATACCAGGCCATGACACTAGGCCCGAGAGAGTATGCGTTTTGAAAAATTCACGAAGCAAATAATTTATGAACCAAATAATTCAATGCAATATCAAAACATTAATCAGCTATAACCTTATTTTTAATGGCATTTTAGTTTGTCCAAAAAATATTTCATCAATTTGTGAATAATAAACAAAATACTAATTTAAATTATGATAGCATAAAATAACAAAGATAAATCAACAAGATATAACACAGGAGATTCAAACACATGTTCTGGGTGGTGATGAATTGTAAGAATTATTTAAATTTATTTTATGATACATACCTGATAGACTCACAAAATAAATCAATTGCTTAAGAACTCAAAAAAAAAAATAAAAAAAAAATAAACCAACCTCAAGCTAAGCAATAACCCTGTGTGTCACGGGAGATGTGTCACATTCGGTCTCTATCAATGATGAAATTTTCATTCGCTTGGATGTCTGTATTCCTGCACCTCTTTTGTATTACTTAAGTGTCTTCTGATTATTATTCCATGTTTATGGACATCTGGTGATAAAATATGGAAACATTAGCTTAATTTAATCGTTTACATTCCAACACATCTATCCCTTCACTCAGTGTAACTGTGGACGTAACAAAAAATATTCTGTAAAGCAATGCAACTTACCGAGGGGAATAGATGCAACCTTATGCATCCAATCTATTTGGTTTCTCAACAGGTATATGCATTTACTTTTTCAATATTTTTGACTTCAATAAAATGATACCCTTACATTAATTTGTGTATTCCAATAAAGTGAAACAAATTGTACCCACAGTATTTATAACTATTTTCTTTCTTTTTTTTTTTTTAAAATTAAAAATACAATTTGAATGTGTTAGTGCTCACTTTTTTTTTACCTTTGCCACTTTGCCGTTTTCCTCCAATAATTTTTGTTTTCAAAATTTTTCGAAAGGAAAATAATCTGTTAAACTTTGATTACGGGCAGCAACCTTCGTGAGTGAGATTTTGGGCGGGTTCCTCAAAATGTCCAAAGTACACTTCGTTAGGGAGGGTAATGTGTGTTGACCGTGGTCTGTAAACATGACTTAAATTAATTAAGGTCACGTGAAGCATTACTTTTAACAATGATGTATTACGTGTTTTTGTTTAAGAGCTCGTCCGTTTTAATTCAAAACTTTATATTTGTTTAGAAAATGTTCAATCCCGATAACTTAAAGTTTCTCATACCGACGTGTTCCCCAAAATCACAACACAACCGCTGTGTGATTGTAGAACATGTAGCACGGGGAACATGTGCTGCTGTGTGATTGTAGAACATGTAGCACGGGGAACATGTGCTGCTGTGTGATTGTAGAACATGTAGCACGGGGAACATGTGCTGCTGTGTGATTGTAGAACATGTAGCACGGGGAACATGTGCTGCTGTGTGATTGTAGAACATGTAGCACGGGGAACATGTGCTGCTGTGTGATTGTAGAACATGTAGAACGGGGAACATGTGCTGCTGTGTGATTGTAGAACATGTAGCACGGGGAACATGTGCTGCTTTGTTTTTTTAGCGCCATTGTGTTAGAATGAATTATATTTCCAATAAATGAAACTTTTTATGTCTTATCAGGCTCATACCTCAGAATGGATGTCAGCTCCAATCCAATCCTGCCTAAGCTGACTAAAACGTTGACCATGGCATGTTATATCAGAGACGACAGCTTTCGGCCTGAACCTGGCTTAAATTGGGCCCGAGACATGACCACTGAAAAGTTCACCACCAGACCGTTACCATATAGCTCAACGCCAACAACCACCAAGACGCCAACCACCTCTGACTGGTCCAAAACATACACTACCACAACTGATTCTACGCCAACAATATTCTATACACCAATAACAACCACTACACCAACAACAACCTTAACGCCAACAACAAGCCCTTGGCGGAAAACAACAACTACGTCAACAAAAACTTCTTGGCCAACAACAACAACCGATTGGCCGAAAACAACTACGTCAACAACAACCCCTTGGCCAACAACAATCACTTGGCCAACAACAACCACACCACCAACAACAACTACTACGCCAACAACAACAACCCATTGGCCAACAAAAACCACTACGTTAACAGCATCAACAACCCATTGGCCAACAACAACCCCTTGGCCAACAACAACCACTTGGTCGACAATAACCTCTTGGCCAACAGTAACCACACTCCCAACAACAACCACTACGCCAACAAAATCAACCCATTGGCCAACAACAACAAACCCATGGCCAACAACAACAACTTGGCCAACAACAGCCACTACGCAAACAACAACCACACCACCAAAAACAAATACTTCAACAACAACCCCTTGGCCAACAACAACCACACTCCCAACAACAACCCCTACGCCAACAAAATCAACCCATTGGCCAACAACAGCAACCACTTGGCCAACAACAACCACTTGGCTAACAACAACCACTTGGTCGACAGGTACCACTCGGCCAACAACAACTTCATTGCCAACAACAACCACATCACCAAAAACAACTACTATTCCAACATCAGCTACGCTTACAAAAACTACAAACACCACGCCATTAACTAAAACCACTTCATCAATATTCACCACACCAACAACCACAGGTAATATACCAACAGACGCCACCATTCCGTCAATTCAAATGTCAACCGTGCGGGACACGACCATTCCACCAACTTTGACAGAAACGCCAAGAAATTCTACTAGAATATCAACTACCCAACTAACAAGGACAACATCAACAACCCAGAAACCACAACAGCAAATCACGTCATCTTCTGCAGAAATCAGCCACCTGATGTCGATCGTCATTGTAAGAGCAAATTCTCAAGGAGAAGGTGAAACCATAGCGAAAGTCTCACCTTTCGATCAAGCAGCAGCAGGAGAGGGTACTTACGTCAGTCTATTACAGGTAAATGGTAGTGTATTCAAAGCAGCGGTCAATGGTGAACTTGGGTACCTTAGTGTTATTTGGACAGCCCCGCTTGAGGACCAGGTCGGGACCTATGCGTGTGAGGCCAATGCATTGACCCATTCTGGACACCTGGTGACTCTCACAGGATCCCTTGAAATCCAAGCTAGACAACCTAATGTCGCAGACCTGGTCATGGTTATCATAGATTATGAGAACCGCATTTCGCAACTCGAGCAGGAAAACCAAGAACTCAAACATAAACTTGACCTACTTGAAGGGACTAGCACAAGTCTATTTGTATTGGCTTTAAAATAAGTAAGCAATTGGAAATATATAACATTTGTACTGTTTTTTAGAACTTTTGGATTTCTCATGATTACACATTATATGTGTTGCGCATATCAGTGTATGGATATTCAATAAATAGAAATTAAATTAGCATGCTATTCTCAGTTTTAGACATTCTATAGTTATACTTTTTAATATTTTAGACATTCTCAGTGTTAGCTATTCTCCCAGTTAGCTATTCTCAGGGTAAGACATTCAGATGGTCAAGCTAATGTCACACACAGCACATAGGATTTTTTTCTTTGTGGAAAACACGGTGCCATTCGGCATGCTTCATGACAATGTTTGCTTTCAATTTTTGATGACAAAGTCAGATGACAAAGTAAAGATGACAATGTTTAATGACAAAGTCAGATAACAATGTTTGATGACAAAGTCAGATGACAATGTTTAGTGAAAAAGTCAGATGACAAGTTTTGATGACAAAGTCAGATGACAATGTGTGATGACAAAGTCAGATGACAATGTTTGATGACAATTTTTGATGACCAATTCAGATGACACTGTTTGATGACAAAGTCAGATGACAATGTTTGATGACAAAGTCAGATGACAATGTTTTATGACAAAGTCAGATGACAATGTTTGATGAGAAAGTCTTATAACAATGTTTGATGACAAAGTCAGATGACAATATTTGATGACAAAGTCAGATGACAATGTTTGATGACAAAGTCAGATGACAATGTTTGATGACCAAGTCAGATGACAATGTTTGATGACAAAGTCAGATAGCAATGTTTGATGACAAAGTCAGATGACAATATTTGATGACAAAGTCAGATGAAAATGTTTGATGACAAAGTCATATGACAATGTTTGATGATAAAGTCAGATAGCAATGTTTGATGACAAGTCAGATGACAATGTGTGATGACACTGTTTGATGACAAAGTCAGATGACAATGTTTGATGACAAAGTCAGATGACAATGTTTGATGACAAAGTCAGATAACAATGTTTGATGACAAACTCAGATGACAATGTTTGATGACAAAGTCAGATGACAATAAATGATGACAATGTTTGATGACAAAGTCCTAACCTTATCAGCCTCCACGTAAAGCCAAGCCAAACATCTTTGAAACACGAGTGTACATAATCCACCATATGTAAATGACAATACACAAATCTTTCATATTGCACATTGGGTACACATGTCATTTCTCATTGTGTACATATTTCTTTGTGCGAATATGTCATTGCACCTTGTGTACACATGTCGTTGAAAGGAAGGGGTTTATTTGTATTGAAAATTAAAAATATTGAGTTTAACAGAAAGTCAAAAAAGCTAACATCCGTAAAAAAAAAATAACGCGTTCAAGAAATATGGATAAAATATAACTTCAGTCAAAATCTTGTTTTTAACAGAAATTCATCGAGAAATATAACAGCAATCTTCTAAAAAATTGAGCATGACAGAAATTCATCACACAATTTAATATCATTCTTCAAAAACATTTATTTTTAGAGAAATTCATCACTTAATGTAACAGCATTCTTTTAACAATTGAGTATGGGAGAAATTCATCACAAAATTTAATAGCATTCTTGAAAAACATTTATTTTAGAGAAATTCATCACTTAATGTAATTGCATTCTTCTAAACAATTGAGTTTGGGATAAATTTATCTCAAAATTTAATAGCATTTTTCAAAAACATTTATTTTTAGAGAAATTCATCACTTAATGTAACAGCATTCTTCTAAAGAATTGAGTTTGGAAGAAATTTATCTCAAAATTTAATAGCATTTTTCAAAAACATTTATTTTTAGAGAAATTCATCACTTAATGTAACAGCATTCTTCTAAAGAATTGAGTATGGGAGAAATTCATCTCAAAATTTAAAAGCATTCTTCAAAACATTGTGTATGAGAGAAATTCATCACAAAATGTTTCTTCTAAAACCTGAGCATGAGAGACATGCAAACGTTTATGTATTCAGATAAGATGCTAAGTTAGAGATCAACGTATTCAAAAATGAGGACCAATCATATTTGATGTGCCGGCTCTACTTCCTAACACTATCTTACTGTGTCAATGAGGTCATTGGTATGTGAATCCAGACTCGAACAGATCATGTCACGACTCAGCGCTGGACGGAACAACAGTTTTCCTTAAAAAGAATTCCTTGTCCTTTAGCGGAGATTATTTCCGGCTTAAAAGGCCAGGCTTAATCTAAATTTATTTATTGCACGCGCAACTTGCCTCCCCCCACCCCCCCCACCCCCCCCCCCCACAAATGTCTTCTTTCTAGGCCACAATGATTAAACGAATAAAGGCAAAATTGTGTTTAGTATTCAAAAGGCCCCCCCCCCATTTTTTTCATATTTAAAAAGAAAACTAAGTAGGACAATGAAGAGAACTAACAGACGTTACCTGACCCCAGTGTGGGTCAAGGAGTCTGATTAAATAAGACACAAAGCAGTTGGCAACGTGAATAGTGCTTTATTGCGTCTCTTATATCGAAGGACTGTTATCTGTATCACGGACATAAACAGACAAGTTATTTGGTGTAAGAACTTTTTTATATTTGGTACGTTCTTGACCTGGTTCACAAAACTAATTGACATTTTTGTGTTTTAAATTTTGAGCAGACAAATAGTGTTAATTTATCGAGGGTCTCTCCTGTCCGGGTCTCTCCTGTCCGGGTCTCTTCTGTTCCAAGAATGATTTTTTATCGATCGTCGATTATTTTGGCAATAGTTCGTATCCATAAGACTAAACGGAGTTTTTCGCTGTAGAATAGATTGTATCCCAGTTAGCCTATTGTCTTTTTTCCCACAGCTGGTCAGCTCACGAGACATCAGATGGATTATGAAGCCTTCCCCAGTGTCAGGAGTGTCCGAACTTTTTATAGGGTTATGTTATAACATCTATGGGACTCGGGCTTCGATTTTTTTTAAAAATTGAAAGAAGAGGGATCAGGTTTATCAATTAAGCTGTAACCCTGGTTTATTGTCGCGGGTTTGTTATCAGATTGTTCCTTCTTTTAGACTTGACACCATCTATTTTGACGAGCCCCATCTACTCGGGTTGCCTGTTCCTTCTCTTAGACTGGACACCATCTATGTTGACGAGCCCCATCTACTCGGGTTGCCTGTTCCTTCTCTTAGACTGGAAACCCTCTAAGTTGACGAATCCCATCTACTCGGGGCGCCTGTTCCTTTTCTTCTTTTGTTTGTATGTTTATTTTGTTGTTTTGCGTTTCTTTATTCTTTTTTTGCCGGATATTTATGAGATAACATATATAAAAATATCGCCAGCAGTTCAGGGAAAACTGTCCAACAGCGCTGAACATTGGCAATAATTGGAAGTGTTATTGAATCCACACTACTTCGGCTAGGATGTCGTGAAATAAAGGCGAATAAAACAAAAAATCAATGATCTCAAAAGGATAGTGCGTGGAAACATAAAATAATTTCCCTTTACTAATCATTTGTATGTATGAAGTATTTATGTTTTGTATATATTGAATGTATGACGTACTTTTCACTGGAATATGTTGAATGTATGGAATAGGCCTACTTATGACATATATATTTTTTTAATGATTGATTGATTGATTTCATATTTATATCTGGCTGGCATCCATCCCACTTTAGCATGGCTCACTGCGCTCTTGTCCTCGGAAATCTATTTAAACCAAAAAGTGTTTAATTGTTTCTTAAATTATTTTTTTATCATTTACAATTTCCCACAAAGATTGAGGCAAAGTGTTCCATAATTTTGGCGCCATCGCTTCAAAAGAGCGCATCCATAAGACTTTTTTCTGTGTTCATCCAAACTGTGAATTTTCAGTATGTACTGTGTTGAAGACCGCAGGCTCTTTAAGGATACAGGCTTATAAATTAGTTATTTAAGATATTCCGGTGCAGAGCCATCTTATGCAGCTGTACACCAGGGACAGAATTTTGTAGCTAATGCGCTCACTCACAGGAACCCAACGGAGATCTCGTAGAACTGGGGTGATGAGACCTGGGGTGATGAGACCTGGGGTGATGAGACCTGGGGTGATGTGGTTAAATTTGTTTATCCGCGATACAATGCGTACTGCAGTATTTTGTATCTTTTGGAGTCTCTGAATTTGGTTCTGAGGTAAACCCAAAAAACAAGTATTACATTAATCTAATCTTGACTGGATTAGAGTTACTGCGACTGCATTGGCTGTTCTCCTATTGAGTTTAGGATGCAGCTGACCCAGGGCACGCAGATGACAGAAGCATGCCTTGACAACAGAACTTATATGGGGAATCATACTAAGTTTACTGTCAATGTATAAGCCAAGGTCTCTGACAGTCGAGGACAACAGGATCTCCGATTCACCAACTTTTATTGATGCAATGGTAACTTTCCGAAGACTAGCGTCTGCACCACAAATAATTGCCTAAGTCTTATCATCATTTAATTTTAGTCTGTTTGATGAAATCCAATCTTTCACAGCAAGACAGCAGTCCTCAACAGCCAGGACAGCAGTAGCACACTCAAAGGGAAACCCTTGTATAGTTCTGTGTCATCTGCAAATATTTTGCGGGAAATACCATGACTTTCAATAATTTTGCCGAGCTGGCTAGTGTACATGGAGAACAGAATAGGTCCTAAAACGTTGCCCTGTGGCACACCACAGGTAACGGAAGTGTCCATGGAAGATGCCTGTTTCACTACAATACGCTGAGTCCTGTCAGTCAGATAAGACGAAAACCAGCGAAGTGCATTGCCAGTAATGCCTGCCACATTCAGAAGTCTCGACAGAAGAAGCTCATGGTCGATCACATCGAAGGCAGCACTGAGATCCAACAGAACTAATATTGTCAGATCACCACTGTAAGCACCACAAAGATCATTATTCATAACATGGAGCAGTGCTGTCTCACCGCTGTGCCCAGGTTGATATGCAGATTGAAACTTGTCAAGTAAGTCATAAGATGCTCCACAAGCTACTGTGACACAACGTTCTCAAGAATCTTAGATACAAAGGGAAGGTTGGAGAAGGGTGAAAATTCTTGCCGTCATTTGGGTCTGGACGACTTTTTTTAAGCAGAGGCTAACGACCGCTGTCTTGGAGAGACGTGTAACTGTAGCAGACTGAAGGCTAATATTCACGATCTTGACCAGTTTTGGAAGCAAGACTTCCAGACAGTCCAAAACAATCTTGGTTGGGATGGGGTCAACAATAGAAGATGTAGCTTTAGATGCAATGATTATATTTCTTAATTGTGCATGGGAAACTGGGGAAAGTTCCACCAGAATGTTGCCTTCAAAGACTTTCTCCACCGTAGACAAATCACAACGTTCTCCAAAGCTCCTTCTGATTGTTTCAATTTTGTCAGTGAAAAAATCAATCAGTTTAACTGCAGCTTGCTCGCTTCTCATGTCAGGCAAAACAAGGGGTGCTGTTTTTTTTCCCGAGAAGGTCATTCACCACAGAGAATATCTTGCGAGGATCAGTACCTGCCGCCATCAGGAGAGATTGAATATGCTCAGACTTTGCATGCCTGATTTCTTGCACTTACATGCTGCGTGCTTTCAGAGATGATAGTTTATCAACTTCACGGCCACTCCTTCTCCAACGCTTCTCAGCTACACGCCAAACAAGCTTGGCCTTCAGAGCTGTGGGAGTGAACCAAGGGGAGTTAGATCTGTCACTAAAAAAAATTATTTGACACTGGGGCATGTGTGTCCAACAGAGAAATTAGAGTCCTATGGTAGAGATGGACACGGTGTTCAATAGCTTCAGGTGGTGACTTCACTAACTCAGTCCCAGAGAGATAATCCTGAAAAGAATCAATATCCATCTTCTTTAAATTCCTCACCTGAATTTTCTCCCTCTGAGCAGCAGGCCTAGCAGCCATATTTGTTGTAAACCACACTAGGAAGTGATCAGACAATAGAATATCGTCCACTTTCACAGACCGAATTAATAACGTAATTAATTAATTAATAATAATTAATATGGATTGTATGAAATACTTATGACATACATATAATGAATGTATGAAGCAATTATGAACATGTTTATTGAATGTGTGAGGTACATGTTACATACATATCTGAAATATCATGTAGGGTTTGGAAAACGTAAAAAAGTACTATGACTCTATGTTGTAGTCAGATCATAGCATGTCACTGATACTTAACGAATAACATTTTTCTGTGATAATATTTAAACACGAAGAATCAATAAATATGCACTAAAATGATAACATGGTCTAGTGCAGGTTTCTCAGACTGTGAGTAGCGACACTTTTAGTTTTCGAACGACCCTCATACAGATGACGCCTAAAATCATCTAAAAACACATAATTATGAAGTAGCAACGAAAATGAATATATTGTTGGGGGGTGGGGGGGGAGGGGGGTTACCACATTATGAAGAACTGTATTTAAGGGTTGCCGCATTAGGAAGGTTAAGAACCACTGGTCTTATGAGATCATATGAAAGTCGCAGATAAATAAGGAAGAAATAAAAAAAAGTGTCTACCTTTGTGTAACGACATGTAAAATGACCCCTGGAGTGAACAAAACAACAACCTACAACTTAGTATGAAGTAAACAAGATAAGCCAGCCGTGGACGTCTGATCTGCCCATCCGTGGACGATTGTGTCAGTATTTAACTGACCATCCATTTGTTTGTGCCACTCTTGTCAAAGGTAGGCCAGGATTGTCCCATCGGTTAACGTTGTTTATTGAAGAAACAAGACAAGACATGTCGCTGGAAGAAATGATTGTCTGCAAAATAACAACGGTGGTGATTTTATTGACGCAATATGTGTTAGGTAAGTAAGGATCGAGGCATTTAGTATCTTAAACAGTTTTCCAACTTGAGACTGCACTGCGTCATATTGTAATTCAGCTATTTCTCATATTATATATATTAAGTTTATGTAGCTATTTATTATATAAAATTTTAACTCCATAAATACAAGTATTTACCATATTAGTTTGCACTTAAGCTATACAAGCGATGTCCCATAACTTGTTTTAACTCAACCATTTAGCCATTTCTCATATTTTTAACTCAAGTTATAAACCTTTCTTATTATTTTACAACTGCAAAGTATACACATAAACACAAATATCTAATCGTTGTAGGCAAATATGCACTAAAGTCTGACTTCATTTTGTTCAGCTTCAGACCTCGTGATGCAATCTAACTCTCCAGTCATACACCCAGTACTCACCAAAACACTGAGGCTGCGATGTTCCATCTACAAAGAGAACCCAAACCTAGCCGCTCTAACTCGTGCGTCCTCCGAGCGAGAAGTCGCAAATTTGGATGAAACCGACGTGGCTTACGATGATGGCATACTAACGAACAACGTAACCAATACGTCAGTAGTGGTTACTGCACCAGCAGCTGCCACCACACCCTCCCCACTCAGCGTTTCTTCTGGTGTTGACGTCGTTCACGTCATGACCGTCATCATCAACAAAAATATTTCGGGTAAGAACACCACCATCGCCAGTGTGACGCCCTTCAACGTGGCGGCGGCACTTCATCCTTTCAACGAAACAACTCTCGTGGAGGGCGGCGTCATGACTGGCTCCGACGCTGACCTGCAGGCCTACCTCGAGGTGACGTGGCCGAATCCAAGGGAAGAAGACGCGGGAACCTACAGCTGCGAAGTCGTCGCTCTCGCAGCTCAAGGTCTTCCGATGTCCTTGACGTCGACGCTGAGGGTCACGGCCGAGGAGCCGAAATTTCACGACGTCGTCAACTATCTCGTCAGTCACGAGAAACAAATCACGAAACTTCACCAAGAGAGCGAGGACATGAAGCGTCAATTACACGAGTTCCAATCCAACAGCAGCCTAGTCTCACAGAGCCTTCAGGTTAGGCTGAATACACTGGACAACATTCAAACGGGGACCTTTTCCTGTTCAAGTCCCATTTTCATTCGGTTTGAGAAACCGTACGCCTCGATCCCGATAGTATTCCCTACGCTGACCAGCCTCGTCCAGACGTCCAGTAATTCTTCCTCCACCTTCCAGATCAAACTCACGCAAGTGGGACCAACAGGGTTCACGGCCGACTGCGGATACACGGGCTACTTCCTACCAGAGTTTCAGTGGCTTGCCATTGGTCAGTGAATCGGGAAAAATGTGGAACATGAATTTGTAATAGTGTATGCGAACTATGCAGCAGATTTATGAAAACGATTTTTCTAATGTATCTTATCAAATTTTCTATATGTCGATCACTAATCTAAATTGTATAAAGTAAAAATAAAAAACGATTAAAATGTCTGCAAATGTCTTTTTCGATACTTATTATTCAAGTTCTATAAGATTATATATATTAGTCCGGGTATTATTGAAATATAATCATGATTAAATTATCTAAATCGCTATATACCGTGATTTACAATACGTGAAATAGTGGGGGTGTGAGACTGCCTAAAAGTTAAGAATTTCAAGAAAGGTAGTGTGAATTTGGGGTGCCCAATACAAAGTCACATGATTGTTAGAAATACAAAGTCACATGATCGTTAGAAAAACAAAGTCACGTGATCGTTAGAAATACAAAGTCACATGATTGTAAGAAATACAAAGTCACATGATCGTTAGAAATACAAAGTCACATGATTGTAAGAAATATAAAGTCACATGATCGTTAGAAATACAAAGTCACATGATCGTTAGAAATACAAAGTCACATGATCGTTAGAAATACAAAGTCACATGATCGTTAGAAATACAAAGTCTAATGATTGTTAGAAATACAAAGTCACATGATTGTTTTTAATACAAAGTCACATGATTGTTAGAAATACAAAGTCAAATGATTGTTAGAAATACAAAGGCACATTATGATCGTTTGAAATACAAAGTCACATGATTGTTAGAAATACAAAGTCACATTATGATCGTTTGAAATACAAAGTCAAATGATTGTTAGAAATACAAAGGCACATTATGATCGTTAGAAATACAAAGACACATGATCGTTAGAAATACAAAGTCACATGATCGTTAGAAATACAAAGTCACATGATCGTTAGAAATACAAAGTAACATGGTCGTTAGAAATACAAAGTCACATGATTGTTAGAAATACAAAGTCACATGATTGTTAGAAATACAAAGTCACAGGCTTGTTAGAAATACAATGTCACATGATTGTTAGAAATACAAAGTCACATGATTGTTAGAAGTACAAAGTCATATGAGTGTTAGAAATAAAAAGTAACATGATCGTTAGAAATACAAAGTCACATGATCGTTAGAAATACAAAGTCAGATGATTGTTAGAAATACAAAGTAACATGATCGTTAGAAATACAAAGTCAATCTGTGTGTTGGATTCTGCTGGGGTGTACAAAAGTTGTGCATTTCTACTATGTTATTGAAATAAAATGATTTTTTTCATTCGTTCACATAAAAGGATCCATTGAATGTATTGTTGTCCAAGATAAGCCGAGCCAGCCTTACCAATGTTTGTTGTCCAAGATAAGCCGAGCCAGTCTTACCAGTGTTTGTTGTCCAAGATAAGCCGAGCCAGCCTTCCCAATGTTTGTTGTCCAAGATAAGCCGAACCAGCCTTACCAATGTTTGTTGTCCAAGATAAGCCGAGCCAGCCTTACCAATGTTTGTTGTAACGGCGACATAAGACATGCAGAGCTTTGACTTATCATTTGGTAATATGGCAACACGTTTCTTTGTCTTGGGGTTTGTTTCTCCGTTCAATTCTTTTTTAAGAGGTGAGACAACGTTTTGGGGAAATATTGTGTTGTGCTTACAGATAGACAGCCAGATCGACAGACAGAAAGTGATTTTCTGATTTCAACAGAAGACAAAAGAAACCAAAAGTTTGAAAAGACGTTTGGCTAAAAATCAATCGAAGCCGAAACCAACATTTCAACGAGACTTTCGGCCGAAACCTAATGAATTAGACTATATATTTCAAAACTGGTTTGCGCGTATGTACGGCGTACATCGAAAGAAGTTGGGGAAATATTCGATATTTATACACTTTTTATAAAGTAAGAGATTCTCGTGAATTTTAATAGAGAAAAATCAAATGAATACTTTGGCTTTAAAATAAATTTAAAAAAAAAAATTAAAATGGTGGCACGGAGGAGAACATGAAGTCTAGCGTCCAAAAGGCCAGAGGAGCTTTCAATGCCCGGCGAAACACCTGGAACTCAAGTAAAATACTGACAAAAACAAATTTAAAAATATTCAGTTCAAATGTCAAGGCCCTACTTCTGTGTGTCTGGGAAACTTGGAGAACAACAAAAACACACATTTAAAAAAAATGTAGTTTTTTTAAAAAAATAAACAGATGCTTGCGCAGGATCCTCAAAATGAGATGGTTTGACAAGATTTGTAACATTGTCTTTTGGGAGAGAACATCAAATGTTCCGGTGGAAACGGAGATAAAATGAGAAAATGGAGATGTATAGGGCACACATTAAGGAATCCTAACACTAACATCACCAGACAGGCCCTGAACTGGAATCCTCAAGTTATCTGGAAAGAAGAAAAACCAATAGCCAAATGGAAGAGAGGAGTAGACACAGAGATGAGGAGAATGAAGAACATCTGGGCTGAACTAGATAGCCCAGGACAGGGAAATATGGAAACGTACTGTGGATGGCCTATGCTCCATAGGAAGTAACAATGGCTAAGAAGACGCTGTATTGACATATTTGGTATTGATCGAAAGTTAAGTCATTTTTATTGTGATAGTCCACTAAAATTTCCAGAAAGAAGCCTTGAAGGAACTCGTTCTTCAGCAAAACCAGACATTTTCATTGAAACACGCTTCCTTATTGGTTGACATTGAATTTTTCTTTTTTCCGCAATTATTATTGGCTAATTTTAAATTTGACCTAGATTAAATAAACGTTGAACGAATATTGTTCTTAGTTTAGTCTGGTTAAGTGTATCAGTGAGCCTTCTACACTATTGGTATACTAAGTAGTGATACATGCATTTTTGTGTTATTTCGGCCAAAAGACAGACAGGTATCAGTCTGACTTCCTGATTTTCGTCTACAACCAACGGGTTACCGAACTTGATAATGGTCATGGGGGTCTGATATCAAGTCTCAATGCCACCTGTTGTGTGACCAATCGAATCACCACTGAAATTGGGAAACATAAATATTAAAATGCACGTCTACATCCTTCAGGACATCCCCCTGAAAACCCCAAAGTCTTCACGAGCGTGAGGGAAAGTGCTAGACGAAATCAAGGCCAGTTGCACGATAACCTGCGACGTTGTCAAATGGGCACTGGAAGTTAGGGTTAGAAGGTGAAAGAGTGATTGAAATAAATATAAAATTGTCTTGAAAATGGTGGACTCAACGCAAATCTAATTTCAGCTTGTCAACGGCATATCTAGGCCTATTAGTTAGTTGATGTCCTCATCAACACCAGGCACAGAAACATTGCAAATCCCCTCTACATGCATAGGAGCCAAAATGATCAATAAATTTATCGTGGGCCCTTAATATATAAAAGAAGAAGAAGAAGAAAACATTTAATTTTTTTTTTAAATTCTATTAAAACTAAATTAATCTGAAAGATAGTTATTACGACCCTCCAAAAAGTTGCTGCTTGCACCTCAACCTTTGTCATCCAGTTACCAACCTGAACTCCCTACAACCACTGCCCTCAACCAAGCCTCAACCATGTATATCTGCATGGCTTTCTTTCACACCATCTTGTCATAATTGTTTTCACGCATAAGCTTAGCTGTCATTCGGTCAGCTATTAATATATTAGTATTAGTTTTATTTTTATATTGTGATTTAAGTTTAATAAACAACATACTATACAATTTACTTGTTTTATTCATGCATTGATTCAACTGTATTTTTGTGATCAAACGCTATCTTCTTCATCAACAACATTAAACATCGATCGATAACAACAACCACCAATCGTTAACATTAACACACTATCGATACATGACAGAAGATTTCAATATATTGAAAGATTTATTTATAGCGATTTTATTTTTCTACTATGAGTAATGTGATAACATTTGGTTTATCTTTCAAACTCGTGCCCTTATTAAAACAGTGGTTCTCAAAGCTACGTTTTCACTGGGTTTTTGTACACAATCCAGATATTTACATTAGCCGATGAATAGTTCGATCGAAATTTTTCAATTTGCATAATATTAACAGTAAAACGAAAAAAAAGCCTTTCCGTTTGAATAGATCCTTTTTTTTTTAATAGAGTACCGCTACCTAAAATTTTGGAACCACTGCAAGATTAATCCGTGTAATGAAAATAAAATATAATCCCGCTAATAGAGGAGGGGGGGGGAGGGACAATGCTGAATATATATACGATTATTCATGGGCATATGCGTATAGTTTTATTTTGACTTCCATGCTGTTTCAACATTTCACATACCAGTGAGGTAACCCACAGCTCAAAGAATGAGACCCACGACATGCCTTCTAGCTGTGGTTGTGTTTACAGCTTTAATATTTGCATCAGGTAAACGGTAATTAGATATCTTTTACTCGGCTGGACTTTTAGAGTATTTACAATAACGATGACTAAAAAAAAACGGGGAGTATAATCATGTCTTATTCTAACAATAAATAAACAGGTCCTTCATATCTGGTAGATTAGCACTAAGTGTAGGCTGCAATAAATGAACAGGTCCTTCATATCTGGTAGATTAGCACTAAGTGTAGGCTGCAATAAATGAACAGGTCCTTCATATCTGGTAGATTAGCACTAAGTGTAGGCTGCAATAAATGAACAGGTCCTTCATATCTGGTAGATTAGCACTAGGTGTAGGCTGCAATAAATTAACAGGTCCTTCATATCTGGTAGATTAGCACTAAGTGTAGGCTGCAATAAATGAACAGGTCCTTCATATCTGGTAGATTAGCACTAGGGGTAGGCTGCAATAAATGAACAGGTCCTTCATATCTGGTAGATTAGCACTAGGTGTAGGCTGCAATAAATGAACAGGTCCTTCATATCTGGTAGATTAGCACTAGGTGTAGGCTGCAATAAATGAACAGGTCCTTCATATCTGGTAGATTAGCACTAGGTGTAGGCTGCAATAAATGAACAGGTCCTTCATATCTGGTAGATTAGCACTAGGTGTAGGCTGCAATAAATGAACAGGTCCTTCATATCTGGTAGATTAGCACTAGGTGTAGGCTGCAATAAATGAACAGGTCCTTCATATCTGGTAGATTAGCACTAGGTGTAGGCTGCAATAAATGAACAGGTCCTTCATATCTGGTAGATTAGCACTAGGTGTAGGCTGCAATAAATGAACAGGTCCTTCATATCTGGTAGATTAGCACTAGGGGTAGGCTGCAATAAA